CCTGGCCCGTTCAATAACAGGTCCAGATGCAACCAAATACCGGTATCCACCGTACCCCTTTTACAACCCATGAGGTTGTCCACCTGAGAAAGAGGCACGTGCAAGGGGGACCCCCCAAGGAAGAGGGGGATCACAAATTGTTTCAGGACAGCCCTCTTTTACAGCGCTTAGATTGTGTCCCAGTCTGGACGTGCATGAGCCGCCAACAATGTGAGCCTACGCCTATGCGAGGTCTCAAGGTCTATCTCAGCCAATGCTGCGACAGCGTCTGAGATGTATATGCGGGCCGTCTTAGGGCTATTCCAGCGACCAACATGGCACACTTGCGACAGGTTGCCGGTCATCCGAAACATGTGCGTGGCCCCGCCCCTTCGGCAAGAGTACCACTGAAAATTCCCAGCCAGATTGGCATCCTCTGTGAGGACTTTCAAACGGTTCCGTTGAGTCTGGCCAGACACTCTAGTGAGCTTATCTCCAGGCGACAAATGCTCAAGGTATGATCGCAAAAGGGAGACAACCCAGCGGTCACGAACGACCAAGGACTCTTTCGCGCCCGTGCGCTGGCCTGACTTAGTTAAAGGCAGGCTCCACACTGCAGATCTTTTATGGTCAAACACAAAGTCACCTTTCAAAGCGGAGAAGAGCTCAGCAGACCGTGGGAACATGCAAAAACCGACAATCAACAACACAGCAGTGTCATTCCAATGACGCCGATGCGCCAGTTCAGCCAAGGAGTACACCAGCAGGGGTGTGAATGGAGCCGCACGTAACGGCAGCTCCGCTCGGCCCCACGCGGCGTGCAAACGCCATGCACCCACCAGCCATGGTTTACAAGGTGGGATGAAATGTCCAAGTCCTGACAGGCAATCTGAGGCCCATCCTTTGGGGTCGCCGGACTCCCACAATGATTCAACATACCTGCATACCAAGTTGTCTAATTCAATAAATCCCGAAGGATAACTCACACCCAACGCGATCAAAAAGTCTATGAATTTATAAACATGCAACCTGTACCGTGCTAAAGTCTTTGGGGCAACCACCTGTTCAGCCAACTTTCCCAATCTGGCTCTCCTCGCCTTTCTTGCTGCCTGCGACGCCTTTTGTCGCAAGTCCGGCATTGGTCTCTAAGCTCTGCCGCGCCACCGGCTTGGGCCATCCGCTGGATTCAGCGCGGATTGGACCCAGCCCAACACCAAGGTCATTCCAGTGGCAAGCAGCACGGCGGCGAGTCGCGTCAAAGGTCCCTGCATTCGAGCACTCGAAGTTCGACCTCGCGCGATGATTGAGAGCACTGACTGGTTATCCACTAGCAGCAACCGCCGTTTGTCATGGTCCTCCTTCTTTCGGGCCAGCTTTCGGCACAAGTCGAGGACGGCTGCAAGCTCTAGGGCATTTATGTGTCCAGTTTCCTTCCACTTATAGCTCAGGAAGACCTTCCAAATCCAAGCTGAAGGATCAACGGGCCTGCGCGCAAAAAGATGCGGCGCATATGGGAGGCCAGCTTCGAATCGCACATCCGACCCTCTGTGATCGATGATCCGGCAGTATTGCAGGATCAAAAACTGTTCATTTGTCAGCCTGCTCCCTTGGCGGTCTTCCTGACGAGGTAGTTGCTGCTTTTGCCCAATTAGATCTCGCACGGTTTTGGCCCCTTCCCAGGTCCCAGCAGTTGCTCCAAAGCGTTCGGTCCACCCAGTGGCTTTCTGGCTTTGCAGTGCCACCTCCTCGTGTGCATCCCATGCTTTCCAAAGGAGCTCCACGTAGTTTTGCTGCTGGTCAGGAGGGGATGGTGTGATCAATCCCATTAACAAGCGGCCCACCACAATGACAGGGAAACTGTTTCCTGTGAA